TATCCTTGCAAGGGTCATGATGTCCAAGCGTCGTCGGCACCGCAAGAAGTGGCGGGGGCGACGATGCTTGGACATTGGCCAGAGCATGATGGCAGAGAGCGTAGGAGAGTGGGAGGTGCGCATGCCAAAGTAACATGCCAAAGCGGTGGCACCACCAGTACAATAATACGCTGAGGTACGAGCACGTGCCACACTTGAATGTCGGTCGGGGGCGGGCTCTGGTACAATGGCGACGGGAGGCGGGAGACGCGTAAGCATGGAGCCTCATGAGTCATGGAGCAGTGGCGCTTCAAGCACATGCTATCACGTGCTTAGGCTTGGCGCTTGCTGTTTGCGAACGCGGTCGCGAACGCGTTCGGTGGTGTGACCTCCCAGTGGGGTCGACTTTCTGCAGTGTCAGACGTAAGTCACGTAACTATGAAGGTGGCACGCATTCTGACCATCCACCATTGCTACGAGTGGCAGATTATTCTCCAAGGTCACCAGCCTGGCGCCATTCATGATAGGTCGACATGCGAAGTGCCTGAAGCACCCCTCGTAAATCCTAAGCTCACCGTTGTTCCACGCAAGCTCCTCCTCCATGCGCTTGGTGCTTGGAAGCTAACCAGACATTGCGGAGATGCACCCGCTGTGAGCTGACACAATACTGTGTAAGTCTCTGGGAAGGGCTACTATAAGATATCCACTCGTTTCCCTGTGCAATTCAGAGCCAAGAGTGCCAAAGGGCGGACTGGCAAAGCCACGAGGAACTTTGTGCAACAGAGGCCCACTTGAGACAGCTGAGTTGTCAAGCTGGTCCGGATATTGCGGAAAGGTACCTGATCTTTGAGCAGTGGTTTTGCTGTAATTGTAAGAACATCGCCGACGCTGCTATTATCGTGTTAGAAGTTGGGCAAGACCAGAGTTGATTAGGTGGGTTCATTGCAAAGCACAGTGGCATCCCCCAACTCATAAGCCTGCGTCTGACGTGCAAAGGGATCCCTTGTATTTGTGGTCTTTACAAATGCCACTGACAGGCCTGGTTGCAAGCGCAGATTCGTCCACCGCATCAGAGCCACTCCAACGCGCATCCTTAGCAGTAGACGAAATGCGCCAGACGTAACTTCTCTTTATGACCCTGCGAAGGGCTCGAGCAACGTTTACCGCCTGCGCCGCGGCACTTAGGAATGCTTCTCATCGACGAAGGTGCCCCTGAACCGCTAAATGTCAGCATCGTTGCGACCAATTTCCCACCTGCAGACGATTCGGTTTCCGCGTGCGATCCAAAATGGGACGACAAGTTCTAGACGCTGCACCACTTCCAACGGATATCAAGAGACCACTGAGTCTCGGAGGTCTTCCCTATTCGCACTTCTTCTCGTCTTCGTACCGATGGGGCAACAGGCACCTTTTTCTCAATCTCAAGTTCCCTCAATCTTGCCACAGCTCGACAAGGCACGAATCATTCATATGGCTTCATAATCCCCCCGTAGTCCACTGAATCTATACAGAAACCATCCTTGGTACTCATACATATATCGCATTCCTAGTCAATACCCAATGCCATCCTGATTCGTTGTTTCCGTATCACCGTCTCTTAGCCCTCTCAGCGCGGTAACATCCCCGATGAAACTGGCCTTACCCCGCGCGGGTTTCCTCGCGGAGCAATATCAGCCACATCGGGTTGTATGGAATCATCCTAGGGTCCCAGTCAGTACGGACAGGACGAGTCTGCACTCCCAAGCCTCCGGGAAGCACGTCGTCCATGACTATAACATGTCCCGGTCCAGGCGCTATTGACTGCTCCATGGCAGCGAAGGATGTCCAGGGTCTCATGAGGTACAGCTCCTCCAGCGTGCGACAGTGCGCTTCTTTTACGGCATATTTGGGATTACGCCCGTTGTCCGAGGTGTCGACGGTCTCCAAGTGGACCACAAAGATATGTGTATCTGTACGAGGAGCGTCGGTTCTAGCTACAATTCTGAAGAGGTCGGGACTTACTCATTCTGTTTGGGTCCTTCGCCACCTCGATTGCACTCATGGCTGCGCGAGTGAGAATATGCAGATACTTCCAGCCCCACTTCTCGAAAGCGATGTGTCGTCGGGTGACTTCTGGACCCAAACTCTCCCGCAATTGCTTTAAGTGTACAGTATTCGTGCAAGACTGCTTATGTTCAGCCCAGTGGGCTTTCTGGCACTCTTTGCCCTAGATTCAAGAGTCCTAGTTAGACCAAGCTGCTACTAGAACGACACCGCAGCGTACGCAATAGCGCGTCGATTGGCAGCGGGAGCAGTTGCGTAGAATGGCAGCATCTGGTAAGCACCGACAGCAACGGGATTCGTCAGGATGGCCAAGCTTCTGCGGGTGCTTCAAGCAATGTTCGCATTGTTCACCCAGCTGCACCGGCATCGCTGAAAGGTCCTCAGGCCTCAACCCCGGACGGGAGAGCTATGGAGGCGGAGAATGAGGTTGGTGCGTGCGAACGCAGCCAGGTGCTGTAACATTAGAAGCGCCAATGGAAAGAGGCGCCCACGCTCAGAATATCGAATCGATCGGCGGTTCGTCGCGGTACTATTGGTATTACAGTCGACTCTGTCCTAACCCATACCTGTCATAACCCATAACCTGTAATAACCCATAAGTTTTTGGCTTCCACCAACATGGTAGATAGTAAAAACCCATAAGTCTGCCGTATCCCATAACCCATAGCTTTTTGGAGGGTTATAACCCATAAAACAACCTATATTAGGAAGGTACAGGTCTCCTTCCCACGAGACCCTGGACCATCTGGACCCTTGATTTTTGGTTCTCGTGGTATTTCAGAAGATAGCCCATACCAGACTCAAGATTCCGTATCTAAACGTTGTCATAAACGACGTCCGGCCTATACCGGATAGGCTGTCTGTCACGCTTACTAGGTAGTCACACAATGTCACACGTTCTGGTAACCCATAGTCTGCATAAACCCATAACTTTTGGGTTCCACGACCCGTTATGGGTTAAGACAGAGTCGACTGTACCACCAGTACTCGGCTTCCTGCCAACCCCGCAAGCGATGTCGAACTGCCTTCATCGATGCGAAGGGAATGGTATGCAATAGTGTACATAGAATACACAAGCCAGACGAAGTCCCTATTCCACGGCCTTTATCTAATTTCTAGATATCAGCAAGAATACCGATGGGTCATGACATTGGATGCTCACCTGTATGTTGCACCGAATTTCTGCAGATGGACCAGATAGTTGAAAGTAGATGGAAGGCCGAACGGGGTGGCGATCTCTTCTTAGGCTCTCACGACAGACCTGATGTTGTAGTCACGCTTAAAGTTCTCAAACTCTTGCTCTTTCGACTTGTACTGCTCCGCCAGGTTAGATACAACTTTTCGGATCTGCATAGCGAAGAGATGATCCATGAGATCGGGCCGTCTTGAAGTGCATCTAAGAGTACTCTTACCCCATCTCGATTCGTCTGAAGTGCAGGAACGACATCCTTCACAGTACGCTCGACCAGGACACCACCTATGAGGCGGAAGCATTTTCGGTCAGGTTCCTCAGCCAATGCCTCTTCTAGAGTCCCCAGGACAAGACTGAAACAACTTGTTAAGGCGTTTGCAAGCGAGGGAATCACGCTAGACTCACGTATGTTCCTCGGCTTCTTGCTCAAGTTCGCCAATTTTGCTAGCCAGGGCCTGCAGGTCACTCTGGAGGCGTGAATAGTTCTGCTGCAGCTCTGGCTGGTCCAACTCAGCGCATGAAATGTAGTGTATCCCGATGATGCATACCCTGCTCCGACAGCGGCTGCACCTTGTTCTTGGATTGTTTTGTGGACGCCATGTTTGTTTGTGGCTGGAGGGAGGGAACGGGAGCAGCAGACTGCCGCGGGCAAGGTCGGCACGAGCGCCGGGGCCAATCGTTTTCCGAGTGACGTGATTGGTCGAAGCGTGTTCCTTGCGCCGTCTACGTTTCGATGTCATTTCTGCGATTCCCCTCGCCGCTGCTGGCAACGTCGACCACTCCCGCCATGTCCTTCTCTCGTTCCTGCGCCGCTCTCGGCCTTTCCAACCGCGCCGTGCTCGCGCGGGCGCTGGCGACTCGCCCGTCGGCGACACTCATAGCGACTAGGCTGCACTCAACCACTCCCTCTCGCCGCGCTGAGCCTTCCCCAGACTATCTAGCCACCCCGGGTACTCGTTCACCGAAGAACACTGGCTTGGTCGGTGCCAAAGATGAGCCCGGGAAATTTGTCGATCCCTACAAGGATGGTCCCGGCGCTGTCGACAAGGCAGTCCACCTGTTCTTCTTCACCGAAATCCTCCGAGGTATGTGTACTGAACTCAACTGAGTGAAATGCGGCATTCACAGTCCTGTTATTCACTAAAGGGATGTGGATTACCCTCGAGAACTTCTTCAGACCACCATATACCATCATGTATCCGTTCGAGAAGGGCCCCTTGTCGCCCCGATTCCGCGGAGAGCATGCTTTGAGACGGTACCCCAGCGGCGAGGAGCGGTGCATTGGTACGTCGTAGTCATTGTGTCTGTGAACGGTACCTTACATTGTACAGCTTGCAAGTTATGTGAGGCGATATGCCCCGCCCAGGCGATCACGATTGAGAGCGAGGCGCGTGAGGACGGGTCAAGAAGAACCACAAAATACGGTGCGAAGATTCTCTACCTCCCTGTGTTCTTGTCCGGACTCACATTATGCCCATCACGGTCAGATATTGACATGACGAAATGCATTTATTGCGGGTTTTGTCAAGAGGCCTGTCCAGTAGACGCCATCGTGGAGAGTGCGTTCTCACCTTGACCTGCACTCCCTCCGGGGCTGATCGATCCCTCTGCCTTCCCCTTCTTTAGCCCAAAACCAGGAATTCTCCACGGAAACTCGCGAAGAACTTCTGTACAACAAGGAGAAGCTTCTCGCCAATGGCGACAGGGCCGAAGCTGAAATCGCTGCCAATCTCCATGGTGCGTGCGGCTGGCTTATCAATACAATGGCTGTGATTTGTCAACACTTGACTAACTATCCGTATGTTTCTCGGCGTTATAGCGGACCACGTATATCGGTGAAGGAGGTTGCTCCTCCTTGTTCAATGTAGGAGTGTCGGAGCGGGTAGATGAAGACGGAGGTTGTAGATGTTTAATACACCTGCTAATTCAAACGTTGCAGTCCTTTGCAGGATTATTAAGGTGCGCGAGCTTAGTCAAGGAATGTTGCGCCAGAAATATCGTGAAAGGAGTGAGCCTGCGGCGGTCCTCTCATTGAGCTCCGGTTAATATCAGACATCTGATGTGGCTGTAATGCTTTGCGAACCCCGAATCCCTAGTTGTGTACGGTGTTAGACTAATACAAGGGTATTTGCCATCCCAGTGTCACAGTCCAAATGGTATATTGACAAACCCGAGAATTACCAATCCTCCCAACCATCATCTTGTTTTGTATTTGCAGGCTTGCTGCTCCCAGATGTGTTGGTAGTACCTGATAGTGTCGTTGATTGATGAGCACCGTCATACAAGCCAGAACCCTGGCCATGGTTACCGCCGCTGAACTCTCCGAATAAGTCGTCGTCATCATGGTACATGCCAGAGTGCTCTCCATACTGGTCTTGACCGACAGCTCCATAGGCGCTCCTGTCGGGTCTACCGAGGCCCACTCGGTCTTTGACGGTGCCGACGGTGCCCACCACATCTACGCCTAGCTGCCGACGTGACCACTCATTCGCCGAGCTGCCGACTTCACCAGCCTTGGCAACGTAACCCTTGACGCTAGCCTGAAATGCTGGGTCCTGGACTTTCTGCATGCCTGGTTGGATGACATTCTCGGTCACAACGCGTGTCGCGCCGGCGACAGCAGACGAGAAAAGGGACCAGCCCTTGCTGAGTGCCGCCACGGGATTTTCTTGCAGCTCTGACAGCGTAGGCGCCGCTGCTGAAGACAGACCGAAGGAAGGATGCTGCGAGCCTGGGGACGGCGACGGCGTATTGCCAAAGCCCTGGTACCGGCCACCCTGTGATGGGGGCAGGTTGTCAGGCCGAGAAGCGTTGGCCTGTCCCATCCTGGCAAAGTAACTCTCATTGGCGGTCTTCTGGTCTAGTGGTGGTGACGTGCTACCCTCCGGGTTCGGTGAGTACGAGAGCGACGAGGGGGACGTGGGCCGAGAGTCGCGGAAACTGGAGCCCGTGTTAGAGCGGGCGGAGGCTCGTGACTTCCTAAGACCCTGAGCCGACGAGGGCCGCCCTGGCGAATTGGAGCCTGTGTCAGGAGCGTTGTAGTTCGCTGGAGGTGAAGACGGCTCCCATGGCCTCCCTGCCAACTCAGCGTCCAGCTATCGCAGAACGTTATTTCATCATCGAGACCCTGTAGACTGCTCTGCGGACCTTTTCGCGGTATTGAGTAGCAGCCCAGCAATGATACGTCTCGTACGAGCTCATTCCATCCTTGTAACCGCCTTCTGCCGGGTAGGATTGCATAAACTCTCTGAACGGCGCGTTCCCCCCGAGCTTCACGGAACAGGAACATGAGCGGCGAGAGTGAGCCTACACACAAAGCCAGCTGACCTTCATTCGCCTGATCTGCTCGTCTTGCCAGGTGTCCATAGACACTGACCTGACGAAGCTTACGCACGGGCGGACCCTAGCTCGTATCTTCCCCATCCATAGAAGCATGCATTCTCACCTGATGTGCACTCCAAAGCCCCGATGCGTCCCAGCACATTGCAGGCATAAAAACACCGCGAAGCTATCATGGAGACGTATGTTATTTTGGCGCGAATGCGATCGCTGGGATGCCCGGGCTCGATCTTTACCTGAGTGAAGCCCACTGCGGGTTCGGATTGCCACAGTCTATACAAGTCTTGTTCTTCAAGTCCTCGCGCTTGATGAGCTCCTGCAGGGTCTTCTTAGCCAGGGTCTGGTCCGTCATGGTGAAGCAAAGGAGGTGCTGATACTCTGGAATGCATGCCTGCGAGAAGCCAGCAAACGCGGTGCGTGGGACTCGCTCACTCGGGAGTACCCGTCCTAAGACCTGCTAATTCTCCATTCTGCAGCCTTTGCGCATGGCTCGGTGATAGCGTTTGCATTACAGTTGCCTATTCTTCCCGACTCACGACAATATATCAGATGGTCTACGAGCACCGTTCGTCCCAAAAAAATAGGCTTCATCATATCTTTGGTGCGTGCTGATGCCTACAGGATCGATGCTCGTATATAAGTCGGCACGGCAGAGAGACTGAGGGGTTTGTCCGGCCCAAGGGATACATATGAGTGGCCGTTGATCCAGATCGGATACGCAAGAATACATGTCTGCTTGAGAATTTGATAAGTTGTGTCTCGCCTGTCATGTAGACTTTCCGGGTTATATATCTACGGCTAGACATACCGCTTGGAACAGGGTGCTCCATTCTCCTCGCCGAACACAGTGCGCCTCTCGCCTTTGAATGCATCTCGGTCTATTCAAAGAAGACATAGGGTAAGGACCTGTGAAACGTCACAGGCCGGAGGCAACTTTGTCCGCATAGCTCGACTTGCCCGGGAGTCGCGTACGTCTCTGAAGACCTAAGACAAGATCGTTGATTTCATGGAGGCCGAGTAACGTGCTCGGATTACGAGTACATCGACCGGCGCATGGTGCGTTCCAGGCGGGGAAGACACCACCACCGAGCGATATCTTCGTAAGCTCGAGCGAGAAGCATACCGGAGCATATCCTGGACGCTCATCTTGGCAGTGCCTTGGGGGCGCGTCGTCTCACAGTGTTCAGTCCTGAGTAGCGTCGTTAATATACTCTCATGCTGTGGTGTTGGGAGGAGAGCGTGCTCTCTGTAGTCCCGAATGTCCGAAGGGCATCGTCGGACGTTCGGGCATGGGCGAAAGAGCACTGGGCCAATATTAGGCTCGAGCAGACGAGCCGCTATCTTGGGAAGGGAGAGGAGCACGTACGAATAACGACAAGTGCGACCGGGGAGATGGAACGTTCAAAGTAACCCGTGATCGTAATGGTGTTCGGCTCCAACTTAAAATCATCAGCGCGTTCTTGAGCATGAGCTCTGAGAGGCAAGGTAATTGCAGTTGCTGACACGACTCACGGCATCAGGTTGGAATGACGCCGCAGGCCCGTGATGGTGGGAGCGGGGGGCGTCGCAGAACGCAGCGTACGATGATAACCGTGGGTCGGCGGGATATCTGATAAGAACGGAAGCAAATGAATGCCAGAAGCGTTCGAGAGCTATAGCAAGCAGCGGCTGCAGCAGAGGACTGCCATTCGCGTACTGAGCGCACGCTAGGCGCAGACATATCGGGTCCATCTGCGTCGCAAACGCTGAGCGCCCGGAAATAGCGATTGCAGACGGAAAAAGACGTACTGAGCGAAGAATCAGACCACATTGAAGCTGAGGGCTCTATTTGCCCCGTCGACGTTGCGTACCGAGCCCTGGACGCGTTGGCACCGAAAATACCTTCAACAATACGCGTTGGAGGCGGATTCGTCGTGTGAACGCGAGCGCGAGCGGAGTCGAGCCTTAACATCATCTTCCCAAGCTCGCCCTCGACACATCCCTGCTCCTTCCTTCCGACCACCACCTCCGTCGGCGCTGTACGCGCGCTCGCGCTCAGACATGATACAGAAAGTCGCCATAAACCGCTTCGGCACCCATTCCTCAGCGGCTCCGTCCGCGCGTCACGCTGTCCCGGATGACCCAACTGCATGGACCCAGGGATCTGGTACCAAGTTAGTGGAGAGTTCATTGAATCCCGGGCCCGCTGCTGAGGCTGCCAATGCACTGACTTCTTGTGCTCTTCAAAATGCAGGAAATATTCGCTAGAGGTCGTTCAGCATCCCATTCGCGCCCGCATGTGTGGCTTTGGCGATAAGGTGCGTCGTGTCTGCGAGGGTGGACGCGCGTCGGTCGTAATCGTCGAATATTCAATATTTCAGGATCGACGTCCACTCGCGCCTGCGGCGGTCGCAAAAATGATAGTACGGAACCCAGACAATAGCATCGTAGACGTCGAGTCAGTTCAGTCTCTGCAGTGAGCCCTGACATTTCGCCTCATCATCCCGTGTAGCGACATCGACTACACATTCTTCGTCGTCACCGTCGATCTCTGGTCCTCCGACGCCAAACAAGAAATGAATTTGGTTCTACACCCTTCGTCCTCCGACAGGTATCAGAATAGTTCTAGTAACAACAGTGCGAATACCTCTCCTAACGGACCCAAATCCCGAAGGCGTAATGCCACTTCGGGGTCTGCAGCCGCTCCACGGTCTGAAGAACAGAGTCCAGTATCTGGACACTCCCCTCTCACTCCATCCGCGTACCCTCCTAGGCATTTGAATGAGGTAACTAATATTTACTCAGAGCAAAAATAAATATCTGACATGCCACGCTCTTTCCCTAGCAACCAACTCAGTCCAACGGCTCCACCTCGTACGCTCCATCCACGTCCAACCAAGGATACAACCCTGCCAACGGCCAGCTGACTTACCCCCCTCCCCAACCAGCCCAGGCGCCTCCGAGTTACCAACACGAGAACCCCTACGCCCCTGATCCCTGGAGCTATGCCAACCAATCTCACCCCCCTCACCCTCCCATGGAACGAGCGTCATCTCAGTCTCAATACACGCCCTCCCTGCCTCCGATCCATTCATTCAACCGCGGCCCGACGACGGCCCCCACAAGCGCCAACGGCGAGCCCTGGCAACCTGACCACCGACACGAATCCAACGGCGCCGCCCCACCGCCTAGCAACTCCTTCCGCCAGTGGCCAACCGCTACAGACCCTGGAAATTTCGCCTCTGATCATGCTCTGCACCCCCCTTCCACGACTGGCTCATCCGCTATCGATCCTGCCCTTAGAACCAACGGCTCATCGACCCTTCCACCGCCGCCGACCAGCGACGTCCGAGAGACCAGCTCCTGGGGCCACCCGCCGCCACCACCCGACCCATATCCGTCCCAAGCATATGCCTCTCCGACAACGCACAGTGCTCCACCGAATTATGATCCTAACGCCCCTCCTGTGATGTATGCTTCTGCTTCAGCTGCTTACGCCCAACATGTACAGTCGTCCTCCACACATGCTCAATATCATCAAGCCTCCTACCCTACGAATCCCGCTCCCGCGCCTCCCCCAACCGTCCCCCTGCCTCGCCACACCTATACACGTACCCTAGTGGGTCCGCTGGCGGCCAACGCCTGTCGTCTGGTCGACGAGCACCGTAAGCCAGGGATATTTTTCTTATTCCAAGACCTGTCTATCCGTACAGAAGGTAATATGCTTTCCTGATTATCCTTCCCATGAGCCCAGGAATGTTTCATGCAGAAATCTGAACTTATCCCTGTCTACAGGTACATTCCGCCTGAGGCTGCGGCTCATGAACATTGGGGCGTAAGTAATTCTCAAACCTACCCTTCCAGTCACCGTCCCGATGCTAGAAATCCTTTTTAGCCCGCCCGCTCCAGACCCGGGTTCCACCCGCGTACACAACAGTCACTCACCAATCCTTGCTCAAACCTTCACGGAGCCTTTCACGGTCTATTCCGCGAAGCGCTTCCCGGGTGTTCCAGGTGAGAACTAGATTGCAGCCGCGGCTGCTATATCATACAACATTATTAGAGCAGCTAAATAAGCTGATATTCAATCTATACACTATCAGATACCACACCTCTCTCCATCGCTTTTGGAAACCAAGGCCAGAAACTGCCTCTGGTGAGTGGTTCACGGGGTGTTCCCGGTCGTGCCGCAATCCGGGACTGACCTACGGCCTGTCATCCAGCGTAACCGCCACGGCCCTAGCAAGGGCGGTCGGAAGCGGCGACGCGGAGGGGAGTCAGAAGGCTCGGACGACGACTCCGACGGTTGAGGAACTGGCTTTAACCAAGCCTGGACAGCCTTTGTGAGGACTGTTGCGCAAATCACCCATTCCTATTCATGGTGCTATTCCCGAAGCTGCCGTTCTATTTCCGGAATTCCGTCCCGTTGAGACCAGATTATCCTACGCTTGTATATCGCATAGTTCGCGTACTCCGCAATTCTTCTAATCCACGCCGACGCTTATGTTCCTGAACGGCGAGCACAGCTTGAGGATAATTACTGAGTATGCCGTCGTAAATTTCGCCGCAAAGACGAACACGCGCCAATCTTGCATCCTCGTCTTCATCTTGCTCGGGATGGTCAGATGAGTCTTGATCAGGCCGTATAGGTTCAATGACCTGCCCTCTCTCGAGCTTCTCTAGTGTCCACGCCAGCACGTCCAATGTAACAGCGTGAGGTCGCCATTGGTTCCATGAGGGGGAGATTTGATGAAGAACATGCAACTGATGCGCGAAGTCGTCGTCGCGGCCTTCATCAACCTCAGCTAGGCTGCCCATCCAGCTGCTAGCTGTCTCGATAGCTTCTGCCCTTCTGGCTGCTCTGCGGTTGGCCGGGGCAGCGGCTGTCTCGGGCAAGTTATCTTCTGGAGGTGGTTGGTCGAAGAGGAATGGCGAGTCAGGGTCCCGTTCACGGGTCCGTAGTATCCGCTCGCTCTGCATCTGGTACGGCAAGATCACCCTCTCGAGTATCTCAAAAGCCCGTTCTAGCTCTCCGGCGCGCACTAGGGCAACAGCTAGGTGATTCCAGTTATGTGAGTCGAAGGAGAACCCGAGCATTTGCAGCTTTTTCCAGGTGAGTGCAATTTCTATGTGCAGGCCAGCGGCTGATAGGGCGTCGATGTAGATGGACAGAGGTATGCACAACAGGGTAGAGTTGCGACGCTCAGTGTGCTCTTGGGAGAGCTCTTGACCTTGAAATAAAGGACCAACCTGCGACATGTCCAAGCCGATCTGAAAGATCTGCGGCCAGATTTTCAGTGCCGCCTGGACATCTCCTTTCCGCCTATATGCATCTAGGAGCATCGTCAGAAGACCAATGGTGGGCTCGCCACCGGCATCTAACATCCCTTGGTAGAGGCGCTCGACGTTCTCAGGATCAGCGTCCCGGGCATAGACGGTCATAAGAGGAGCGTATATATTGTCCAACGCAGCTGCTCGACTACCGGCAGTCCTTTCCCAAACGCGGTCGCTAGGATCAGAGTCCACAAGAGACGCCAGGAAGTCCTCGGCCATTTGCAGGCTCTCTTCCGTCTTCTCGTTACCATAGGCCTTGATTATGGAAGCGAAGGTGACGGACGTCGGTTGTATTCCGCGCTCACGCATGCCATCGTAGACCGCCTTAGCTCGCTGTCTGTCGCCAGCACGAAGATAACCAGCCATTAGGATAGTCATAACATAGGCATTGATGTGGAGACTGGACTGCCAGTGTTCCGAGAGGGTCTCCATCTGCTGAAAGATGTCAGCGGCTACGTCCATCTCTCCCGCGTCGCAAGCAGATTGCATCAACAGAGCGAAGGTGTATGCGTCCGGCCGAATCTTCACGTCGCGTAATTTGTCAAAAAGCTCCGAGACAACCCGGAAAGGAGCACCGATTAAGACATAAGCCTTGAGGAGAGTGTTGTAGACGGCCGGTGTGAGGCGAAGGTGCCGGAGGCGCGACGCTTTCATGTAATCGAATACTCGAATGACTCCCCGCCAGGACCCGGCTTCCACATGAGCGTTCATCAGGGTCAGTAGCATCTTGCGGTCTGGGACGATACCGTCTTGCAAGGCCTGTTTGTACATCGCCTCGGCAGCGACTGGGTCCCTGCGACGAGCTAAGACACTGAGGACCGTCGTGTATGCAACGTAATTAGGGCGTATGCCCGTAGAACGCATCTGATCCATCACAGCTGCCATAGATTCGACGTCGTGCCGCCGAGCAAAGCTCTGAAGAACTATACCATATACATACGCGTCAGGCATGATGCCAGCCTTGGCCATCTTCTCCAACCAGTGGTTCATACCGTCGAAGTCCGACTGTTGGGCGTGGGCGTAGATGACGCTGGTGTAATGAAGAATCGACACAGCGCCTGCTCTGCTGTCGCCCTCTCCGTCCTCGGGAAAGAACTTGTGAAATAATGCAATCACTCCCTTGGTGTCCCCGATTGCTGCGCTCGCGTGCATGAGTGTAGCGACGTCCGGAGGGCTAACCCAACCTTGCTTTTGCAAGAGCTCATAGAACTCTTCCGCGCGCCCGGTGTCCCCTTGATGAGCAAATAAATAGAGCCCCGTGGATAGATGGTACTTGAAGGTCGGACCCGCAGGTAACGACTCTGTAACACGCCAAAAGATCGAATTGGCGAGTTCGAACGAATCGGCGCGAACCAAGGCTCGCACTAGAGTCAGCCGGATCATAAGCGATGGGGTCAATGACTGGGCTTGCATTTCCTCTAACACGTCGAGAGCATCTTCCGGCAGATCAGCCTCGGATAACACTTGGATGAGGAGTTCTCCGGCCCTCATTTTCTGCTCCTTGTCCCACACACGTCGGTGATCGGCTAGAACAAGGGCAGGCATTTCTATGTCCCGAAGGACTTTGTGCACTGTCTTGCGTAACGAACCTGCTGGCGCAACGAGTACACCGGGGAGAGTCATCCGCTTTCTGCTTACTGTGTAGGAGGATATAGTCTTCCACTCATTCAGCAGGAATACCAGACCACCATAAGGACTGCGATGGTGAACAAGCGATAGGAAGACGGCTTCATAGACGGGAATCATGAGCGCACGGTGGCGATCTTCCAGATAGCCATCCTTCGTTTCATCAATAAGAGCCATAGGTTCCTCCAGGCTGTCCATCAGCGCGGACGCCCGTGACATTATACACTTGTGAGCAAATGCCTGATCTTCATTCAAGTCTTCACGATGAAGCTCGCCCAGAATGGCGTGTATACGGGTACCCCATGAACGCAATTCCTCCAGGCTGACCGAACTGGAATACAAAGACTCCGCCCGTTCCACGAGGCGAGTGGCGAATTTAAGGAGAATGGAGTCTTCTATCTGATCCAGAGCTCCTGCCGTGAGGGCTTCAGAGTATACCGACCAGGCCCTGGTGGGGTTGAATTTGCCCTGAGGCATGCGACAGAGCTCCAGAAACTGCTGCCGCAAATCAGACCTCCTAGGACTAGAGGAAGACGATGCCACTTGTGATGTAGACAGACCAGCCGCAGTTCGTCTCTGCAAGGTTGGATGGGTCGCCACGATGAAGGGCTGCCTAAGCCGCATCAGAGATCTTTTAGGAGGCCGACTACAGGAGTTGTACGACTGACTCCGGCAGGGGATGGACTCAGCAGAGACGAAAAGACATTTCTTGTCTGATGAACATTTAGAACCGCAGACACCACGAAACCTAACGAAGCATTGCTCACCGGCAGCCCATCGTGTCTCGTCGCTAGTGCTTCGCCCGGCCTGCCCATACAAAGGATCCCGTTTACAGCTCCTGACATCATCCGGAGGAACGTCTGCCCGCTCCTTTCCCTTAGCTCGTCGCGAAAGAGAGCTGCATACCTCGGGAGTGACAGCAGTGCCCATGGATCTGACAATAACCTTCACTGAGGATGTTGAAGAAGCACAGCGTCCAGAGGTCGTTCGGCAAGCCAGGAGGGAGCTAAAGATGATTGCTCCGACAGGCTCGAGCATTAATAAGTCCCTTCGCCTCGCTCACAAGAGCAGCAACTGTGAGTCGACCTTCCCTACATCCAATTCGTCAGTGCATGGACGGAAAAAACAAAGACCCAGACATACCCTCAGGAAACCCTGGAAAGGCCGAAGGTTGTGGTATTCCAGGAAGGACTCCAGGGCGAAACGTACACCTCCTGTTCGATCGCAAGGCCAGGCAAGCACTCAGTTTTGCGCCGTTCGCTTATGGAGGGCGCAGAACGCGGCATCTCCCGTCAGGTCACGTGACTGCTGTAGGTCCCTGTGATTTGTGGCCAATTGCTTCCGCGGTGGCGGCGTTCTTGGAATAAATAAGCAGCATCGATCGCGAATGCCTGAACCGCGGTGAAGCAAATATGGACGCGCCCAAGCACGAGCTTATCACTGTCCCGGGAGTCGGGGAGGCAGGCAGGGACGAGCTGCGCCAGCAGTGCTACGACGTGCGGATAGCCGTATTCATCGACGAGCAGGGCTTCCCGCTCGACGTCGAGATCGACGAGTTCGTCGCCCCAAGCATCCAAGTTTCGAGCATTGACGTGCTAGCGTTCCTTTCTGCAGAGCGGACGAGACGGCCACGCATTTCCTGCTGCGGCTCGTGCCAGCCCTGACGCCCGTGGGCACCATACGCGCGTACCGATCCAAAGATGGATCCTACTATAAGCTGAGCCGCCTGGCCGTACTGAAGGACTACCGAAAGTACGGCTGGGGACGCGAGCTCGTGCTCGCGCTGCACAACTGGGTTGTCCAAGACGCCACATCACAGGGCCTGAGTGGTCCTGTCCCCGTGGTCTGCCATTCGCAGATACCGGTCAAGAGGTTTTATGCCAAGTAGGAGCGGTTTCTTTGCCGATCTAGTACCGCAATCCTGAGTTGCTTATCTCACCCCCCGGCAGGCTTGGATACGTCGAGGAGGTACGCCGCTGCTTCCCTGCCATGTCCGACCCCGAGTGTCATCTCCTGCTCTGACTAGGGAGCAGAGTTCGACGAAGACGGTGCACCGCACCAAAAGATGGTTGCCCGATTGTCTATTTGAAGGCTACTCTACGCAAGGTACGCACGTATATGTACCGCTACGAGAAGACACATATACGTCAGAGAAAGTTGGGATGCTATGAATACAGCATAGGGGGAGGGTATGCACTTTATATACTGCTACAGAGGGATGCACGATGACCGGGGCTAAGAGAAAGAGCATAATATAGCACCAAGCAAGTTAAATTCCACGACATACACCGCGAAGGGGAAGATAAAACAATAAACATGGTTAAAGGTTCGTCGACTGCGCACGGAGCGCAGGAAAGTTTCTGCAGGACGATGGGAAAGACGAACAAAAGGCTATTGTAACAGAAAGGGCATGAGAGGTCGTTAAAGGGCATAACAGCGCTGACGTCAGTTTATATTCAAGCTCGCATGTAGTGATCACCGTCGTCCTCGGTCAGCGGCTCGCTCTCGCTCTCGGAGCTTGTAAGAGGTTCGGACTTGACGACGGTAACCGCTTTGTTGGATCGAGGGATGATCGCTGTCTGAATGGGGCTGCCGGGGAGGACGCTAAAGTTAATGCTGGTTTCGAAACCAACGGTGCCTTCCTCATACAGCCTCCGCGCAGCTTCGTATTCCATCTTCTCCTGCTCGGCTTGTGCCAAGAACGGCTGCGAAAGAACAAGTCAGTAAGCCACACTCATCAATCACTTGACAAAGCGAAAGCACAGCCTACCTTGCGCTCATCATCGGTCATCGAGCGCCACTTGTGCGCAGCTAAAACGCTTTGCTTAGTGGTCTCCGTCTCGTCACCAAACACCTCTTTGACTAGCTCTGGGTCGGAGCGAATACGCTGCAGGAACATAAAGTACGCGCTGAGCGGCTTCTTCGGCGCGTTGGGGTCCTTGATATTACCCTTGCGCGACTTTCCGGCCTTGCGCTGCGCAGTGCGGAAGACGTTCTCGCGCTTGATCTCATCCGGAGTCAGGGAACGGATGTACGCGTCGTATTCGCGTTCGCGGGCGTCTTTGAGTGCCTGTGACTTGCGTTTGTACGGCTGCGCAGAGGACGGGAGCGATAAGCCATTGTATGAATGAAGTCATTGACAGGACGTACCTCCTTCTCTTCGGCTGATAGGCCGGCATACTCTTGACCGGCTTCCTTGGCAGCCTGGGCGACGTTGAGCTTCCTGTCACTGGTAGCCTGATGGCGCTGGATCCAGTCTGTGAAATACAGCTGCCAGGCCGAGGGCGCGAGCTTGGGTGGGCGCAGGACCGACTTCTGCGGAGCTAATGTGACAAAATCGAGCGGTCAATTCAGTTTACTCGGGTAAAAGTCGTCGTGGGCGGAACTTACACGACTCGCTCTTCACGGTGGTCCGAGGTTCTTCCTGCTGCTGGCTGCTGCCCATGGAGCGGCGCTTCTTGCGGACGGTCGCGTCGCGGTCGCCGTTGGACTCGCTGACGGACTCGGCGCGCCTGCTGTACCCGCGGGCGAGCCTCGGCGGACGAGTCTCAATCGCCGACGGGGCGCTGGAGGGGTGAAATACCTGGCCGAGAGAGGGGGTGGAGCGTGGGATAGGAATTCGCTGCCGCAGCGTAGCATAGGCATCGTCTGATAGGGGCGGGTCTTCGACAGATGATGGGAGGTTCTCGCTTCCGGAAGAGTTGGGGGTGTCCCACAGGTGCGCGGCCCAGGACGGCGGGGGCAGGCCCGTCGGCGGAGGCGAGTGACACTTGACGGACTCTGCGTAAAGGCCGTCCGCGGTGTGAGGGCGCTCCCAGGGCGAGTTGGGGCTCGGGAGGGTGAGTGCGGCAAAGTCGATCGCGGGCGGAGAGATCTCGTGCTCCTTTACCTGGTGGTGGCCTTGGACGTGGGGAGAGAATATGAGGTTGGGGGCGGGGATGGGGATGGGTGCGGAGGCGGGCTCGGAGGGGAGGAGCTCGGACTCGTTGAGCCAGTGGCTAAAGTAGAAGGTGTTGTCGTCGAACGCGCTCGAGGGCGGGAACTCGAACATGGGGTCGCTGTTGAGCACGGGGGAGGAGTAGTCGTACTGGGTGGACGCGGTCGAGGGCCGGGCAGCCATGTCGGACGCGGCAGGCCAGCTGAAGGCGCTGGGGGAGTCGTACGGACGCGGGTCGTCGAGGTCGAGGGGCCCGAAGAGCATCTGGTCCGAGTCGGAGGGCGGGGAGTCGATGGGCGGGGACGGGTGTCGGTAGGACATGGGGGATGCGTGTGGCGGGGACGGAGGGCGAGGGCGAGGGCGAGAGCGAGGGCGAGAGCGAAAGCGAAAGCCAGAACGGGGTCTTATAGGAGGCAGGGCTTTGAGAGGGGCTCGGCATGGCCTGGCGTAGAGGGCTCTTAGGATTTCCATTTCGGCGCGGATACGGTGACTCGGAATGAATCAGCAGCGCGCTTCGAAGACACGTCCAGTCGGTGTTCGATCCTGGCCTGCAAACACCAGAACACTAGCGGTGATTAGAAACTGCGCCCCTCGGGATCACCTGCTGTGCTTCGTAGCAGATTTATTTTTCCTGTTATCGCTGTCACGGTAAAATGTCCGGTATGGCAGTCTCTTCCTCCTCCCGCCACGCGTTACCGCCGGCCCTAAACTCTGCTTTCTTTGGCACTCTCGCGCCCGTCCCCCGGCTGCTATTGTCTGCGCGATTTCAACGACTGCATCTCATTCGGCGGAACGACGCGGTCCTCCCGAGCACTACCCGACTACATCGTAGCTGTAGATACTTCTCCGCTGCTGTGCACAATGCCAATCCCCCACCCGTCATAGTACCACAATGGAGTTTGATGAGCGATACCGCGAGTCGCTGTAGACGCTCTTGCCAGCCTAAGATAATCACACGGCGGCGGATAGGAGCAGGATCGGAAGATCATTATCAAGAACTGCATCACCTATCATCAAGAGAACGCACCTCCCAGCCCTTCACGTCCTTCATAATCTCCCGCTCCCTCTCGACCGCTGCGTGTTCCCGCCGGTACGCGTCACGATCCCCCTCGGCCAGCAGCAGCGGCACCAGGTGCAGACGGGACCACACCTTCTCCCTCTTGAGCTCTCTGCAACCCACACGGAATCAGATCCAATGTTTCCCTTTTCCGGCATGGGGCCATAATTAGGGCAAAGTCAATGATAAGAACCCAGCTGCGGCCGGATCCCAACAGAGCCACGTTCCTCGTCGAGCGGGCCATCCATGTCCACGTTTGACGTCCTGCTGACCACATACATCCCACCCTGCGCCCCTCTCAGACGCGGAACCTTTTGCGACTCACCTCTTTTCCAGATTTCCCTGGCCCAACCGATAGAAGCCAAACGCGCATATGCCAGTCACCCCGGCGAGAATCGCAACACCGCCGGGCCCGCGGAACGGCAGATTGCGTTTGTACTTTATCGCCTCGAACCCCCCGGGGGGAGGCATGTCCCTGTTAGACAGCGCATGAGTGAGAACAGGCTGGACACAAGAGTACACGAGTGACATACTGTCTATACGGCGTCGACACTGCCGCGCATCGCAGTCGCTGGTCAGCATTCTCGAATAGGCTGCCAGCAAGAACGCTCACTTGTGACTCTTGCCTGGCCGGGTCACGCAGGGATGCAGATGGAGGAAGGCGTTTGGTAGCAATGTGTTCACGACGAAACCTTGGTGGGGCGTGGGAACGGCCCACGTGCGCCGATTGTCCGAGTCCGCGGTGGCACCCGGATTCCTGATGTCCGATGCAGCTCGATCGTGATTGTGATTCGGAATTCTGCTTTCTTGTCTGTACAAATGCAATGTACAGCTGATGCGCGAGCGTGTGTGCGCGCGCGACAAAAATACGCGCTTCGTATGTGTCTCCTATGGCTTTATTTGCTGTACAGATCCATGCGCGCAGATCGCCCGATAGCATGCTGCGTCGTTCCCAGCCTCGCCCCGTCGGCTTTCCGACCTACTCGCTCAGGCAATTCCAAGTACGTCCGTACACCAGCCCGGATTCCATATCATCGCGCGCGTTGCTGCGTTACCGAAATGACTCGCGCTCCTGCAACTTGGGATGTCACCCAGTCGCTTTTCACGGCCATATATGCAAACCCAAATGATACGAACGCTGCGAGGACCCGCTTCCATTAGTGATCCCAACCCCAGAATACTCGAAAGGCTGTCATGGACAGCGGTATTTCCCCGGGTATAGGAGCACCTTGCCCTCTATCCGCAGTTGCATTCAGTCCGATCCATGCTCGAACTTTAGTACCGGTTGCCTCCGATTGGTTGTGTTTCTTGCAGACCTGGTCCGAACGCTGGAAGTATACCATCGGTCTTTTGACCCACTGGAGTATAGGCTCGTAACCACCCTCTACAACAGATTGAGGCAGAATCTATGTTGTAGAGGCTGGTGCATTTGGCGTGGGAATCCAGTATACGCGTCGTTATCTTCCTGCCGCAGCCCTGCCGTTGCTGCCGACATCCGCCGAACCCTGCCGAAGTCTGCCGAATGCGCCTTTCGTAGTCGAGTAAGAACCCTGGTAGTCTAATGCAACCAGCTTTATAGTGTCATTAGAAATGTTGTAGTCGGACTACAAGTCGCGCCGGCTGCGAAGTCTCTCGCTCCCCGCCGCTCCCTCGTCCGACGCTCGTTTGATGTTTGGATATAATATGCTCCTATAATCACGGACAAGATTAATGCCATAGATGTCTACCTTCGGTACCTTGGAAAACGAACTCCGGACTTATTTTTCTGTATATTACTTATACCTTACCGAAGGGTCTACCCGCGCTCTCCGATGATTTCCTGCCGCAGCTATCATGGCAAGAGAAACTTTCCTCCACAGTGATAGGTCTGGCGGTGAGTTGTACGGCACGGGAAGGCTGCAGGAATTCGTCTCTGGGACGCGCTAAGTCTCGAGATCTTGCGGACTACAAAACTCTTTCTAGTCAGATTCCGATCAACTTGAGGGCAGGGCGAAAATTCAACTCAGACAAACTCAGCTGCCAAAATGTAAGCAGCCGGTCGGCGAATTAGAGTTAACGACGCGTATACTGGATTCCCACGCCAAATGTACCAGCCTGTCTACCGATATTCTGCCCTCAATAGCGGTACGACAGGGTGGTCACGAGCCTAACTGGAGTATGTCAGCGCTTCTGGGATAGCACGGTTTACGCACTTGTGATGCGCAAGAGGTCGCTGACGAACGCCACGTCCAGGTTAGCTCCACGACTTTGATCGACGTGGGCGTCACCGGGGCATATCGCGCCTGCGTATGCCACAGCTCCGAGGAGCCCGGTCGCTGGCTGTCGCGCTCGGTCCGCTCGGCCAGCGTCTGACACGAAGCAGCTTAGCCCTTTCACATCACACCATGGAGATCTCGTTTCCCCTCGGCGGATACTCGTGACGAACGCACAATCGCGATTCCTTGAATTCGCCGGTGGGTGCTGCTCCTATCTGTGACGGCGTATTATTGGACCCACATCTTCTCGCCTTCTTGTGTCCGCATCCTAGACCCGGACTGAGCGCAGCCCCGAGGAGGGGCGGGTGCGAGCCTCCCGTCACGGGCGTCGTTTTGTCTTCCCATGTGCACGGCCGGCTCGCAGCAGCTTAGCGTCAAACGTCTGCTAGGCCGAACGACCTGCGCTTGGGCTAGCATCCTCGGCCTCGACTTGGCTGCTGACACCAACTTCAACTTGCTCTTCGAGTCGGTAATCACGAGTGAGGCGCAGTGGATGGTCCGAGGATTGCTCCGCTTATCTGAGCGATCTGACCACCTCTACACTGGTTCCCCCACTTCCATTGTTCCCGTTGACGCTCGGGACCGCATACGGCCAGTCGATCCTCCCCACCGTGCGTCGCCACACATCGTGACCAGCTCGTATATTTAGCTGTGAGGAGAGCAACTTTGCTGCGATAGAACGTGATTCCCGCGCCGACGGGCCAGGTACCGCGCGCGATGCCCCGCCCGCCGCTATCCCTAAAGCATGTACGCTGCTACGGGTGTGCCACAAGGCCTGCCGAAGGCTGCCTTTGATTGCTCTGGGCCGTACATAGTTCGAAACAAAAGTAGCGTAGCGCCGCGTGTATGATTCCACCACAACTAAGAAGGAACGCGCATCGCGATTGGGGGACCGAACGGACGAGGCTAGTCCGGAAAAGGCAATCCGGAGTGCATCAGGAAGAAGCCTTTGACGCTCGACTCAACGCCGGCCAAACATGACGGGGCAGAGCCCATTTGGTTCCGTTTTTCGCGCGCCGCCCTTTCCACGCTCCCGCCATGTCTCGTCACCCGTCCCCGGGGCCCTCCCAGTCCCTCCACTACGGCCAGGTCCTCCAGGCATCGGCGCCCACCCACCCCTCGCGTCAGAAGTCGAGGGCGTATGCCACGGCGGTCGCTGCTGGCGCGGAGGATATAAAATACCAGCTCAAGTATAAGGAGTTGAAACGGAAAGTGAAGGAGATTGAAGCGGTGTGTTGCATGATCGCGATTCGCTTGGGTGTGCGGTGATGACATGGGACTAGGACAATGACAAGCTATACTTTAAAGTGCTTCAAGCGAAGAAAAACATTCAGAGGATGAGACTGGAGCGAGCGTAAGTCGGTTCTTGATCATGGCTGCGCGGGCATATTACGAACGGATGTCGAACGATGTAGCATCCTGTATGAACGATTGTCCTCTATACCCCCTTCTCCCGAGATGCGCGGCAGGCATCCTTTGCCGCAGCATGCTATGCACCCCCCTCACCACCCGCCCCCGTTGTCCATCCCTCATCCTCAGCAACTAGTCGCCCATCCGCGCGACGCACTCGAGCATATACAGCATCTAGATGCTGGCGATGGATACCCAGAGTACGTCCGCGCCCACGAAGCTGCCCGCCATGCCCCAGGTCAGGATGGCCGTCCGATGCCCGCCCCAGAGGTCATAATGGGTCCTGGTGTCGCCCCTCCCTCGCACCGGCAGCACATGCGGCACGACTCAGGTCATGCGCACGAGAGCCAGAGGCAGCTCCCGACTCTGCCGCCTCTGCAGCTCGAGCAGTCGCGCGCCGCCCCCGGGCACGCTCACCACCGTTCGTCCCATTCGCACTCCCACTCGGGCTCGTCCCGCTCACACTCGCGCTCGCACTCGCGTTCGCGGGGCCACCAAGAGCTACCGCCCCCACCGATGCACCCCAGCGGGCCGGGTCAGCCCCCGCAGCCCGTGTCGACGGACACGCTGCCGCCCCTGCACACCCTGCCGCCCCCAGAGTTGTCGCCGGAAAGGCGGCGGTACGACTACCCGCCAGAGCTCACCGTCTCGCACAGCCAGTCGCGCACCCCGCCGCAGCTGGACCTGCACTCCCCCGGGCTCGCCGCGCCCCAATCCGAGAGCCAGCTCCCGTCGCCCTCGACGGCGTCGAGCAGCAGGAGCCTGAACATGGCGGGGCCCGGGCACGTGCACAACCACCAGCGCGTCGGGCCGGGCGCGAACATCAACCGGATGCACCACCGCCACAGCCGGCGCGAGAGCGAGCGTGAGCGCGAGCCGGAGGGGCTGCCCCCGCGCGTGCCGACGCCGCCGTACGCCGTGCGCGCGCGCCAGTCGAGCATGCGCGGGGAGCAGCCTGAGCAGCCGGAGAGGGCGGACGTGCCAGCGCACTCGCGCTCGGGCTCGCCCGTGTCCGCGGGGGCGCGTCTGTCTGCTGGGGAGACCCTCTCCCGGCCCGGGTCCAACGCCCAGGAGGTCAGCCACGAACGACAGAGGTCGTTCGGCCACCGCGACCCGGAGCAGGCGCGAGACGAGTCTTCTGTCCGGACTGCTCTGGACTCGAGGAAGCGCTCCCGGGATGATATGGAAGTTGATAGTGACAATGGCGCGGGGGCTTCGCGTGGGACTGGCGAGAACGGGGATGCGAGGAACGGGGGATATGCGTCTGATGACCGGAGGCCGAAGCGGGTCCATCCAGAGGATGGTTCGCCTGCTTCTGTGCATAATGAGGGGGAGCGAGATCAGGAGGGGATGCAGTAGGCATCTCCATGTGGTAATAGGGATTGTGTTCGTAAAATGTAAAGCGCGATTCTCATTTTCTTGCACAGGTCTGTGTGATGGACGTCTTTCGCTGGTATCATTCTGTACTGTATGTGAGTGTATGACGATGTGCCCCATAATGCATTTTTGTGAGGTTGTGATTGTGATTCGTTGAGCACCGCTTAGATCAATTACTAGGGCATCTGGACAACTCCCACTACAAGCGATGGTGATTGATGTGGACGACGAACTCTTCCATGAAGGCCGTTTCTTAGCACGTCTGATACATTAGTGTAATGATACACGTCTGCAAAACTTGCACTATGGAGGACGACATGTCTACAAACAGAACTCCGAGAGAACTGTCACAAGGGATTCTGTTCATTGTCTGATGAGACGTCCGATGAACAGGTCCACATAGCAGTTGACCGTTCCGCAGACACCTTGGCCCGAGTCAAAGACGTCTCCGAGAGATGGTCCCCATGGTACGCGTCCTTCCATATCAGCTCTTGATCGGCCCAATACGCATCCAGGCTGTCCCTATCCTTGAACGCATACGTGCGCCGCGGAGATGGCAGGAGGCCCGAGCGCTCGCTCCGCTCCAGCGCTTCCATGAGGATGTCCTCGCGAAACTCCGTCGGCGGCGGGAGCGCGTCCAGGATGACATCCATGATGAACGGCTTCCGGCCATGCGGCCTGCTCCCTGGGTCCCGCTGGACGGTCTCGCGCGCCTGGGACAGGAGGAGCCTGGCGGGGGACATGCCCGAGGAGGAGGCGCTGCTCGTGGAGGGTGTCTTCTTGTGACGACGCTTCGGCGTACTGGGGTTCGCTCCGTGCTTGGAAGGATGGCTGCGGCCTGTGTCTGGGCTTTCTCTCTGCAGCCTGCGCTTTTTGTGCGTGTCGCGATCGCTGCGCCGCCCGCGGGCAGAAGATCGCGCGTTTCCCCTAGAGACCCAATGCAAGGAAAGGCAAGCTTCAGCGACGATCCGGATGGAGGAATGTGTGTCTTACGGTGCGTCACTTTTCGGAGGAGAGATCCGTCTTCTTTTATGTGGCTGCTCCTCGGTACTGTCTGGGTTCAGCATGACACGAATGTCCATGATGCGGGTAACAAGTGTGGCTACCTGAGCATCCCCTTGACACTCAATAAGCTACGGCGGCTGACACTCTGATCATGTCCGGGTATCTGGGACTTCCAGGCAAGCGTCAGGATTGCAACGACCTACGGATTGCTGTACTGTCGGTTCTCATTCGAATATGACAATCCTGGTCAAAAACGTGACAACTCGATTTTACCTGCAACTGTCCTACTCGGCGAAGGACCAGTACTCTAAGGATAGGAGAGGGCGACGCTAGATAGGTGTATGTCATCGTTTTGGAATCGCAGCGGAATAGGGAAATGCTCACTGTGCTCTGTTAGTGGCGCATGTGTACCGGCATAGCCAATTCTGATAGGCCGCTGCTCTGGGACTACGAGATCCCCAATCCGGTGAACAATGCCCCAGTTTGCGAGCCAAGTTCAACGTAGGTCCGAAATTTACCAAGGACGTTCCAAGTATAAGGACACTGCCCTCCGAGGTAGGATGGGAAGACTGGGATACATGTATCCCGACTCCAAGCGGATGCCCAGAGGTTGACTAATAAGGATAACTGGAAAGTTCTTCTTAAGCTGACTTCCACGATACCGTATCATTAAGCCGACTCGTGAATCTACCTCCACAGACGGAAACTCAGCGGAAGCCGCTGCGATACTCGGTACTCCGCCTTGATGGGAGGCGGGATCACAAAGTTAACCTCTGTTCATTTGCCGTAACAAATTGCGCGCTCGAGATATGGTGAGAACTTCGGGAGCATATCGAAAGGGGGGAACCCACAATTACTGACTAGAACTCGAGGAAAGGCTACCTAGGGTCCTCAGCTGTCAAGGGTCCTTCTCCTGGTCGTGAAAGTGGAAGTCACAAAGGGATTTGCTTACCTGCCGGCCGAACACATTCATACGTGGGCGAATCTAAGAACGCTCGGAAAGCAGAAGCAGCTGTTCTGGGCGAGATACGGTTATGAGCCGAAGGGCGATAACTCTCACTGCAGGCCGACATACCTAGAGTTCGCCTGGAAGGACTTGAGCCGAGTCTCAGACTAGAGGAGATATCGTGACAGAACTTGCATCTGTACGTATTCCCGGGCAGCCGAAGCAACGCGAAGGCCAGAGACTTCATTCAGCTGGTCCAACCCGTGTATGTCTGCCGCGATAGTTGATGAATTGCTGCGCGGGACGAGGGCCTCGAAGTGGCGTTCTTCAGGTCTTCTGAGGTCACCAGCCCCAGAAGCAAGTCGTCGAAGCTGATGGCCTTGAGCTGGTTGATCCCCGAACACGGACCGATCTTTCCACGTGTGTACGCAAGGACCCCTGATAATCAGTATCGAGGCTTTATTTTAGATGCCCAAAATTCAGCGTCTTTGTCCGCGCCAAATTTCCCGATTTTACGTCCTTTTGTCCGCGAAAAATCAGGTGCTAGCTCGATTTGCCTTCCATATTTGGGAATTGTGGCGTGGGTAACGCTCAAATCTTCCCGCGCTCGGCGTATGCCGAGAAATCCTGCCCAAAATGGGCAGGTGATGTCCGCGGGAAAAATAAGGGTTGGCCGCTGGGCTCCCAAAATCGGTCGCTTTGTCCGCGAAAAATCAGGCCTGAGGGGTCTCAGATGGCCAACTTTTGTCCGCGTTTCCACAAAGCCTCGATACTGATAATCAGGGGTCCTTGTACGCAACGCCAGACTCAGACGAATCAGGACAAGTTCTAGGTTCGCACTCACATACTGAAGGCCACTTGAGCTCGATGTTGTTATGATGATGATATTACATTACAATAATACAGCTTTGTATGTTGATTCTTCTGCTTGCGCTTCCCGCCGACTTAGATACCCCGTAGTCCTTTACCCTTGTTGTCCACCACCGCACTACCCTTTGCTGCGTTCGTCGCCACATTGCCCGTGTTTATACCCTCGGCGGCTTGCTCCTTTCCTTCCTTCAGGATTATGGGGATAACATCAACATCCTTGCTGACACCGAAGACGTTCTCTAATTGCTGTTTCGACGGCTTTCCTAGGATACCTTGGCTACCCTGATTTGAGAAGAAAATGTCGAAAGCTATGCAGACATGATTCAACAGGCGCGTCCAGAACGGAAGGTGCGGATCGGACTCACAGTCAACAACCTCTGTCAGAGGTATCGTGCTGCAACCAAGTCAGTTCGCCTGAACAGTACCGATATGGGATTAGATAGGGATATTTACGTGTCTGGTGGAATTTTATCAGAATGGACGTGAAAAATCGCGATCGCATGGATGCTCACCTCCTTCCTTCCACTTCTTGTACTGATCAACCACAGATAATGGTAAGCAGATTGTATCGCGTGCAGGTGAGATTCACATACCTCGGCGGGGTTGACGATGACGGTGAACTCGTCCGTAGACTGGGTATCGGGCTTGTATACGACCTTGGTGAAGTGCTTAACCATTTCGAGTGATATAAAATGCGATAAATGTCCTCGATGACAAAAGCAGAGTGCTGGATGAATGTGCTGAGCCAGGCCGTGTTTTGTGAGATGGTTTTAATAGGGGGTTAGGTCATGACGTCAGGGTAAGGCGAAGGAGCATCCGGGCATCTCCGGACATCTCCAGCGCAATCGAGCACTGCTTACTCGCGTGATATGACATCATATCTACTGCAACTCGAGGCACTCGGACTGCACTGGGCTCCGGGACTTGAGTCAGTCAGACAGCCCCGACTATGAGTCCGTACGTTGCACGACTCTCGCAGGAGGAGTAACATATAAGTAATTGGGTGGAACGAGCTGTTTGTTCCCAACTCGAAAGAATGATCAGCTACTGATGGAAAAATCTGAATTTGCCCAATCCACATCAGCCCGACGCCGCCCACTGGTACGGACAAGACTTCCGATATTCGCTAATGGAACAAGAGACGGTCTATACGCGTATCAGTCATCAGAACCATCTGTGAACGACTTCTACACGTACCTTCCATGGGCGCACTGGAAGGGGAACGCGGTGTCTGCCAACTTCTGGATCAGTTGCTCACATTGCACTAAAGACAAGCTATCGTTGAACATTATCGCGCCTATGAGGGACGCCATGGCCACCCAACATTAGATAGGTTTATGTTAGCACCAGGCTGAAGGACTCACCACGACAAGCCTTGGAATTAACCACTTCTATCAATTGTCTGGGACACCACCGAAGTGCCCTTAGCCACGAGAACGGCCCATCTTCCGCACAATCAACATCTTGACGATAAGATGGTGCCCCTTCTTCTTCCATCCTTCCCAGATACCCCTTGATGAGCTCGCGCAGGTCATCTCCCGCTACAAGCTGAACTAGATAATCAGTACTAAGGCACCCAATGCTGCGAAATGCTCGAGATACGAGCTCGATAAGACTCACCTTCTGGCTGACAATGGCTGGCACAGCTGAGACGTACACCTGAACATAGGCTTCCCCCTCACTGCGGCCGAGAGGGTGGGCCAAGTGGGCGGAAGTGTCCTGCTCGGCAACCTTATCCAAATCTTTGAAGCGTATGCCCCATCGAGAGAATGCCATCTGGAAGTTTTTGCAGCTCGTAAGGCGCTTAGCCTCATACCGTGTCAAAAGCACAGGAACAGGCGGTTCCAAGCCCTTCACGTCCCCACAGTACCCATCCTGACCTCGGAGAAAGCCAGAACACAATTCCTGAAGAAATTGCTCTACCCGCACTCGTTCGTCAGCTGCATGCTGGTCGATCAGAACCAGATTTTGAGGAGGCCGTGGCGTGCTTGCCCCGTCCAGGGGAATGACACCTCCCCGCCGGGACGCGTCCAAGAGACAAGCAATAAACTTTCGATCGACTTGCTCAAGAACGCGTGCTGCACGTAGCTGAGCTCTGTCAAACTGACTAGCCGGGGACCAGCTTGTGCTGCCCCATCCAGCATTCTGTGCATGCCCGCAGCCGTGATGTTCAATGAGCGGAGGATAACGGTGAGGATCGCAGGGTCCGCTAGATAATCCGTTTCGGCTTCGAAAATCCGCAGGTAAGCCTGGGGAAAGAGGTAAAGTGGGTATTCGAGGCTCAGTCAAGTCATACACTTCGTTGGTCTATACGGAGTGCGAGTCAATGAAATGTACACTGGAGGGCATAAGCATTGCGTGTACCTGGAGAGCCTCTCGTATCCACTCAGGAGCAGCGGACAATTCGGCATCTGTAGAAACTCCACCATCCATTTTCCGAGGTTTGGTCAGTGTTCGCCGCCCTGAAAGATGACCGGTCCCTCGAGCATCTCCGTCAGTACCTGCGTTTGTCCGTAAGGAAGAGTTGCCCGTCCGTCTGTCTACGACAAACATTCGACCGGTGGACGGGTCAGCCCATACAACCTCCGGGGCTTCCTCCTCCCCTGCGTAGTCCTCCTAGATGAACATTCAACCAGTGCGCATAATACTTCGGCTATACGTAACACATACTGGCAGGGCGTACAGATGAACATCAGTGCCCGGGGGCCAACGAACGGCGGTCGGGTTTTCGCCTTGCCGCGTTCCGACCGAAGAAGTCTCAAAGCTCCCATCAACCTTAAGCCTCTTCCTCGGAAGAGTCGACTTTTTGTCCCGGGATTCGACGACGTTAGATGGGCCTGAATTGCGGAAGCCATTACGTGTCAGGAAAGAGCCCACCACAGATGACAGCAATGACTGTGCGGCTCGGTTATCCTAGGGCTCATACCATACAGTCAGACTAATGGACAATGGACATGGGCTTGGAGAAGCTGGCACCTTGAGTTGTACGTTCGCCTTCGCTGGGTCTAAGCAGTTGTCCAGCTCTCCGGAAGACATGCTCAAGTTAAGGACGTATACGGGTTTTCGCTCTTGCTTGCGAGGAGAACGGCGAGTTGCTGCAATATGTTCCATGAGCCACCATTCAGGAGAGCGGCCTCCTTATGTACCTTGTCGTGGAACGGATGTCTCACCCTCTTCCTCATATGCCTGATGGAAAGGGTGAAGGACAATATCAGGCCATAATTTGGAATTACTCACGTGTTTCAGGAATGTGCTTGATGCGAATGCATCGTCTACAGTTCGATGCAGGTCGCAACTCGCCAAGAGGTGATTGTTGATATCTATCATGCTTGTTAATATTACCACCAAAATCCGTCTTGGTACGAAAGAGAATGTACACAGGTATTGATGCGCCTGGTTCCTGAAGTCAGGTGCAATTCGGCAAGAGGAAGGTAAAATACGGACCTTTGTAGGGGCTCCATCCAGGCTGATAAATCCCTGCAACCTAAGCCCTTCATAAAACACGTCAATTTCTTCTACGTGCTGTGGGCTTAGTCAATAATCGCATTAACGTCTGAAGAGGAGGCACTTCACTCTAGCTAGCGCACGACCGTATATGTGTCTAAACGTCAACAAGGTACTGCCTGTCTAAGGAGACTTAATAGTTGCTTGTTAGAAAAACATACAGAAAGTTCATACCTTCGGTATCGTCATGAGTCGGCCTTTAGTCCAACCTTCGCTCTCCGCTTTCTTACTGTCCTCAAGAGAAAATGTCACACCGGGAAAGATAAGGGCGACCTGCTCTAAGTCTCTACGAATTGTCTCGAGGGTCCTCGAAGGAGATGGATGCGAGAGACGACGGACAGGCAACTGGCCCGCCGAAATTAGCGCGGGCCGTCATGAAGTAGGCGAAATGTTACGTTGAAGAAGGCATCCCGTATCCACACAACAGTGCCAGATGTCTGCATTCTCCACCGAACAGCAGGTCCACTGTATAAACATTTGCCACTCTGTGCAGGGTTTCAGCATGGTCAGACATTCTGGGTAGTTGACTCTTACCTTGACTATAACCGACCAGGTCTCGCGGGAATGCGAAGTGCGAGATGATATCTCTAGGCACGATAAATCTGCAGCGGAAGCCAATGCTTTTGGACACGATCAGCCAGGCCAGAATATTATTACTGGAAGGTAGGCTTTTTCGGAGGGATTAACGTGAGAGAAGGAACTATCTCTACCAGAAGAGTGTGGTGCGTGCGGCGTGCATTGTGGAAACTGAAGAATTGAATATACCTTCGCCACGGAAGCCAAACGTTGAGACATTACTTAACGAGTTTATTGCGTATGCCTTGGACGAGCCTGAGTCAATGTAGCATAGGTGTATGAACGAACAAGCGTAGTTCCTACCATAGCGTCCGTCTTCTGAGCCTCTGGCTACAATATCGAGCCCATCTTTGGCCATGCCATGCCCATCGTCTCTTACCCAGCAATTCCAGTCCTCACAGTTCACGCCTACATCGATATTGCTTGCGCCAGCATCCAGTGAATTCTGGACTAGTTCGGTCACAATTTGAGGCAACGACGTCAGGATTTGTGTAGATCGTAGTTTAGAGCGAGTGCCATGGGCGAGTCGTTCAATTGACATAAAGGATATGGCGCATGTGCGCTGACAGACAGCAAAATGGGACACGCATCTTCCGTCTACGGCTTCTTACATGCACGGAGGTTAACGCGTGACGTCACGCGTGCATCCTGACATTTGCAGAAAGTCGACCCCACTGGGAGGTCACACCACCGAACGCGTTCGCGACCGCGTTCGCAAACAGCAAGCGCCAAGCCTAAGCACGTGATAGCATGTGCTTGAAGCGCCACTGCTCCATGACTCATGAGGCTCCATGCTTACGCGTCTCCCGCCTCCCGTCGCCATTGTACCAGAGCCCGCCCCCGACCGACATTCAAGTGTGGCACGTGCTCGTACCTCAGCGTATTATTGTACTGGTGGTGCCACCGCTTTGGCATGTTACTTTGGCATGCGCACCTCCCACTCTCCTACGCTCTCTGCCATCATGCTCTGGCCAATGTCCAAGCATCGTCGCCCCCGCCACTTCTTGCGGTGCCGACGACGCTTGGACATCATGACCCTTGCAAGGATAAAAGGTGATTTTCGAGGAGGGACACTCACCCTTCCACATAACCGAGCCATTCCATACACCTTCGATGAGTCAGTACACCGAATACAACCTCACGGACCCGGTCGTCCATCCACTGGATAAATGCCAGAAATGTCATTCGGGCATGGGACCTATCCGTGTTTTCGTTGGCACGGGAGAAAGATTTGCGGACCGAGGCAGGATTTGCCAATCGGTGAGAAGCCTTCTATTCTCCGGTTTGAATGATGCTAATCTCATTTCAGTGCTCGGACGTTAAGAACTGTCATTATACAGCCTTTTTGACTGAGCAAGCCTACAACTTTGAAGATGCTGAACTCCTAGCCAGCCGACTGACTCTGCAGAGGACATACCCGGGGTATAGTGCACAAGAACTGCGCAGGGACCAGATTCTTCGTCCTGCAATTCCTCCCCCAGCTCTTCCCCCAATTTCTCCTGGACAGATTGACTGCGCGAATTTGGATTGCTCCTCGAAGACCGG